GTTAGGACATTCCAACACTGATAGCAGAAACAGCATTTGCACTGATATAGATTCAGTTCTAATTTAATACTATTGTAAAATTTCATCTCCTCCTAATTAACAGATTGCCATCCACCATGAGAAGGACGCAAATGTAATGTTTGTCTGATGTTTCTGTCTTCAGATTGGGCTAAGTTACAAAATCATGTGTAAAATGTCTGAATGTTTGATGGAGCCACAGCGCCACCTTTTGGTAAGGTTCTGGTATAGCGTAAGGTACTTTCAAAACGAACTTTGTTTTATAATTGTGTATTATTCCAAACAGTAAATGCCTGACACATAATTGTTGTAACAAGGATTAAGCTAGCACTATACGAAGTATGTACAATCCCTCAGTGCTACTTTATGTGCGTGTTTGATGATTATTATTTAATGATTTTAATCAGCTCTATTTTTCCTTTACATCAAGTAATTTCAGTTATGTTATGTTGAAACATGTGAACTATGTATTAAGTCATGGTGGGTTCTGTGAACGGTGAATTATGATAATAAATAAATTATAAAGTTACGAATATCAAAATATCACCAGAGGAAGTGACGCGCGCGGTCAGCTCCTCTCGTCCAGTTCCGCCTCCAGAATAAAAGATATAAGAGATAGACTCCGGTCACTCCCTCTCTCTCTCACTCTTCTGATCTTGTCTTCCTTCTAAGAGTGTTTGATCCACTCGTTATTTATTCTCGTTCTTACTTTTAATTTCAGTACTTTATTTTACTTCGTTTTGTGACACGTGTTGAATTTTTCCTCAAGTTATAAATTGCGGTGCTGAAGTACTTTTCAAGTAGTTTTATTTTGAAAGCTCAAGACACCAACGAATTTCTTCTTTTATATTTTTGTAGTCTTTTATATAAATATATATATATATATATTTATATATATATAATATATATATATATATATATATTTATATATATATAAATATATATATATATATATATATATATATATATATATATATATATTGTCGCCTGATTCACAGAAAGTGAATTTAATCTAATTCTTGGATTTATTGACGACGGAGGATTCACCAGGCCAGCGTTTCATCCTCCAGTTATTTTTAAACAAGAAGCTGAATGAGTTTACAATCAAAGCTGAACACACACACACACACACACACACACACACACACACACACACACACACACACACACACAGGCGACTCTTTTAATTTTTTAGATTTATTTTACAAAAAAAAGTATCAGGTCACTTTTCTGGTTTTGTTTATCTCAAACCTGCCGACATGCTGCAGGACAACAACACACAGAGTAAACAACAACAACAACAACAACAAAAACACACTTTACAAAGTTTTACATGTGAGAGTTCAAACTTTGGACTTCAGGAAGTTATTTCTTTACAGTACACAAAAAACAAAACACTGAGTTTGGTAAAAAATAAAAAATCAACTTCTTTGTTTCATCTTCTTCTCCACAAACCAACGAAGAAGAAAAATCCCTCTCAGATCCTCTCACGCTGTGGGATTCAACTACATTTCCCAGAATGCCCTCCAACACCCTCCAGAGAAGCTGTAGAGTCATTTAGTGTCTGTATTAATAGAGTTTCTCTGCCTCTAGGTGTCACATCAGAGCACCAGACTCCATTCACAAAAGCACAAATTTTACCTTCAGATCATCTTAACTTCATTAAAGAGAACAGAATAAAAGATATTTCATAAATCAGCTGTTTGAGTTGGAACGTTTGTTAATGAACAGATCGATGAAATGTTTGAATCCAGAAACAAGTTGCAGCGTTCGGGGACTTGAGGGGGATTTTTCCTGTCAGATTTGGGACCTTTGACACTTTGGGTGGAGAACATGTTGGTTCTTTGGTTCTTCAGACGTTCTGCTGACGTCTGTTCCTCCTCCTCCTCCTCCTCCTCCTCCTCCGTCGTTACTGACTCTTGTTCATCGTCCTGCTGGAGCGACTCCTGACCACCTTCTGGAAAAGATCATCTGAGAAAAAGCAGCAGGACTCATCAGGAAGTGGCTCGCTTATATTCTGACAGAAACATTTCAAAATAAGACAAACTCACCGTTCCTGAAGCTCTTGGAGTCGGCCTGTGAGACACAAACCAAAAACCACCAGGAGGTCAATACAACCTCTGACCCCCCCGTTCACATCTGTGACTGATCATTACTGTACAGTCTGATATTGATCATTGTTGATTATTGATTGATACTCACCACGGAGGAGGAAGCTGATCTGAGAGGAGCTGCAGGTCCGTCAGCCTGCTCTCGGTCCACCTTCGGAGCTGCAGAGACACCATCATCATCATCATCATCATCATCATCATCATCATCAGGATCTGTCTCTAAATGTCTCACTCATCCATCAAAGGTTTAATCCAGAATGTTATTGATTAATAATCAATAACACTTTAAAGTTGTATTGTCTGATCAGGTTTATTATACAGCTTATTTATTTATTTATCTATAAGTATATATATATATATATCTCCTCATAACCTGAATATAAAGATGTGATTATATATAAAATATATATAATGATCAGCAGTGATATCCTGTGTGGTTATGAGGAGCTGTGAGAGTGTGAGGGACAGAGATAGGGACAGGGACAGGGACAGAGACAGAGACAGGGACAGGAGAGGACAGGACAGGGACAGGAGATGGACAGAGACAGAGACACGAGAGGACAGAGACAGAAACAGGGACAAGGACAGGGACAAGGACAGGGACAGGAGAGGACAGAGACAGGGACAGGGACAGGAGATGGACAGAGACAGAGACAGGGACACAAGAGGACAGAGACAGAAACAGGGACAAGGACAGGGACAGGGACAGGAGAGGACAGGACAGGGACAGGAGATGGACAGAGACAGAGACAGGGACATGAGAGGACAGAGACAGAAATAGAGACAGGGACAAGGACAGGGACAGGAGAGGACAGAGACAGAAACAGGGACAGGGACAGGAGAGGACAGAGACAGAAACAGAAACAGGGACAGGGACAGGGACAGGACAGGAGAGGACAGAGACAGAAACAGGGACAAGGACAGGGACAGGAGAGGACAGAGACAGAAACAGAAACAGGGACAGGGACAAGGACAGGGAGAGGGACAGGAGAGGACAGAGACAGAAACAGAAACAGAAACAGGGACAGGGACAAGGACGGGGATAGGGACAGGAGAGGACAGAGACAGGGACAGAGACAGGGACAGAGACAGGAGAGGACAGAGATAGGGGCAGAGACAGGGACAGGGACAGGAGAGGAGAGGACAGGACAGGGACAGAGACAGGGACAAGGACAGGGACAGGAGAGGACAGATTCAGCTGAAGAAGTCCAGTCCAGGCAATGAAAGTTGTGAGCGGAGGTCAGACTCACGCAGAGGTCTGATGATGCTGTTGACGGCGTGGACAACTCCGTTGGTGGCCATCAGGTCTGCGTCCGCCACCGGGACCTTGTTGACGTACACCGTGTAGTTCCTCTGAAACACAGAGAGGACGGCGTCAGCGTTTCTGCTCAGTGTTTAAATAAAGTTATTGAGGAGAGGGGACCCACCACGCCCAGTTCCAGCTTCTCCCCCTGCAGAGGTTGGACTCTGGTGTGAGAGCTGACTCCCCCGCTGACCAGTATGCCCACCCCCAGGTGGTACCTGAGCACGGCCTCCAGCTGCTGGCGGTTACCTGGGAGACAGAGGACAATATGTCTCTTCAGAAAGCTTCTGTTTAAACATTTTATCTTTAAATATGCAAATGAGGAACAATGTCATTAACAGTGTGTTCATTTACAAACATTTCCAGAAATGTGAACATAAAGATTAAATGTGAACTTCTGTGTCTACAGTGTCTCCTGCTGTCCCCAGTTGCCCCCCCTCTGCCCCCCCTTGCCCCCCGTTGCCCGCCATCCTTGCCTTTATTAGGCGGCAGAGACAGTTTATATAAAGCAGATCAGAGTCTGAGTCACAGAAACAGAATGTGTCTGAGCGCTGGGACCAAACAAGGAGCAGAGCGGCGGCGAGCTGACTCTGTTTACTTTAATGACGGCCAACATGGCTGCCAGTGGATTCTGCTTTATACTCACGCATCAGTTTGTTGAGCTCGGGCTGCGACATGGCGCTGAAGGCATCGTTGGTGGGAGCGAAGAAGGTCAGCGCCCCCTGCTGGTTCAGCAGCTCCGTCATACCGGCCGTCTGGATGGCGCCAACCAGGAGGCTGAAAGAAAGAGCACGTTTGTTCCTGATGTTCACGCCAACCAACGCCAGCTTAACTTAGCATAAAGCAAGCTCATGTTAGTCCGGGAGGTAAACATTTGTGTATTTGTAAAGGTGGTCTCTCTGTAAATAACTTTATTAGGACTTTGCTAATCGGGAACGTCTACAAATAAAACTGAACTGATTATGTTGTTGTTGTTGTTGTTGTTGTCTGCTGGTTGCCACGCACACACAATAAATCAATCAAACTGACCTGAAGCGGTCGTGAGCCTTCAGGACGTCCATGACTGTTCCCGTGGGCGGAGTGAGGACTTTGTCCACAGTGAACATGGTAGCGTAGCGCCCCTTCTTGTCGTGAGCGGCGATGCAGGCGTTCTCAATGCACACGTTCTACAAATAAACAAACAAACATCAGAACGGGTGAACAGGTGAGAGGACTGACAGGACGAGGAGAGGAACTCTGACAACGGCTGCGACTTCTGGGACTTCATGAACGCTTGCAGCTTCACTCATTCAGAAGAACCCAACTGCACACGCAAACAACAACAACAACAACAACAACAACAACAACAACACATCTGAGAGTCACCTGAGGAGTATTGCACAAAACTAGAATAAAGAAATCCAGGATAATTGAGCAAGCGCGGTTTGACCTAGCCTGCTCGCTGCATCCTGGCTTAATCGGTTGCACGTTTGCCGAGCCAGGATGAAAAGGTGCGGCTATGTTAAGCCAGGTGTAGATAGTCGGGATAAGTGCGTGTTCACGGCATACTGAAATAGACCTCGCGATCGCTCACAGAATCACCGATGGGAACATGGATAAGCTGAACAACAGCTCCTGATGGAGTTCTATGAAGAGGTGGAAGATAGAAGAAAAAAAGGCAATACCAATGCCATAATTAAAGAAAGAGAGAAAGCCTGGCAGACAATAGCGGACCGGCTTAATGCTTAAGTAGTCCAAAACTGTACAATGAATAAACAGTGCTCCACTGGAACTGTCATCATTAGGCTCCAATTAAAGGACTAAAGGAGTTACTTTAAGTCCACTAATCAACTGTTGTACACTTTGCTTTAAATGTGGCAAGTAGAGGTGCATGTTACTTAAATGTAAAGTATGATTAAGTGCAAACAATTATCCACAATGTGTGTCATTTAATCTATTTTTATCTCTTTTATCTTTCTATCCTTCATAAAGAACAAACTTGTCTGGCCATAAAAGGACCTGGCAGCAAGTTAGAGTTAAATACAAGAACATTTTGCAGGCTGGAAAGTGACTTTAAAGTAGATAACAGTGAATAAATGAGGTGAATAGATTAGGTGTCTGCTGACATGTTGAATGTCTGTATGATTGTAGCAGTTAAAAAAAAAGCCCATAGAACTGGCACAGGGGGCGGCCCACCAAGCCAGGATATGAAGGCTTGAGGTATTTTTCAATTTAATGGAAATATCCTGCTTATTTAGTCCATAAAGGATATGAAGTCAGTGATGTGGTGCTAATAGAAAATATATGAGTAACAGGACCCAGATGCTGCACAGTCTCCTAAGCAGCCTGGTCACATTGTGAGTATTGGCCAAAGTAAATCTACATTATGCACAAATCCTGCTGTGCTAATTGATTCTTTTACAGACTTCACAAACTGTCAGAAGACTATACGCAAGCACCTGGAGAGACAGAGCTGGCAGACATTAAAATCAAACTCAAGAAGAGAAAGCTCCAAGAAATGGAGCTGGATCTTGAGATTAAACACCGGACACTCAGGAAACTGGACCTGGAAATCCAGAAACTAGAAAGAGAAGTGAGTATTTCAGTGCACACAGTAACCATAACTGCAATACAGTGTTTTAATCTTTGTTGCTTTTGCTCCCTCTATTCCAGGATCCAAGCAACCGAGACAAATGAGGACTGCCAAATAAAAAAAAATTCAACTAGAAAACATTGTGGTGTCCTCCCTTTTTCATGAATGTGAAGTAGAATTTAAAAGATAACCACCAATGCTAAACAAAATGCACACACAGCAAAAAGTAACATTTAAGATCTTTTATTAACTAAAGATAGGCTAAATCCAAAAAATAAGTGAAAAAACTTGCAATATATTGCTCCCTGACGAGTCTGCATTAATGAGATTTAAATGAAATGAGAAATGACAATATATATGTAATATTTGAATGCAGGATAATTAAAATGATGCAACATACTTAGAAAGACCATGGACATGCTGTAAAACACATTAATTCCTCACAGGACTGACGGTGGAAATACAGGTGAATCACTAGGATTAATGTTAGCCTGGCTGTTAGCCTGGTCTGGAGCTTGGTCTGGTCTTGGCCGGGATAAGTTTAACCTGCTTTCATGCAACCGACTTGAGGCTAAATTCATCCAGGATAACCAACATATCCCGGGTTAATCCCTTATCCTGGTTTTGTGCAATACCCCTCTGGTGACTCATCACAGCGCAAACATCTGTTTACTGGTTGTTTACTGGTTGTTTACTGGTTGTTTACTGTTGTCTGACTGGTTGTTTACTGGTGTGTACCACCAGTTACTGGTTGTTTACTGTTGTTTCCCACTGTTTACTGGTTGTTTACTGTTGTTTCCCACTGTTTACTGGTTGTTTACTGGTGTTTACTGGGTGTTTACTGGTTGTTTACTGGTGTTTCCCACTGTTTACTGGTTGTTTACTGTTGTTTCCCACTGTTTACTGGTTGTTTACTGGTTGTTTACTGGTTGTTTACTGGTTGTTTACTGGTGTTTACTGGTTGTTTACTGGTTGTTTACTGGTGTCTGTAACTGTTTGCAGACACCAGTCTGAGCTCTGATTGGTCGGGCTCCAACCTGTAGAAGACTTTCACTGCTTTCAACTGTTAAATATAATACCTTTTATTTTTTATGACATGTGACCAGGACAGGAAGTGGACGGGGGAACTGTGTACCTAAAATATGGAAAAAAGTCAAAACAGTCCAAACTGTCTACATTGGTCGTCTGAACGTCTGCAACCTTCAGAAAGTTTCACCAGGTTCACAAGAGAGATAACAAAGATATAATAAAACATTATTTATAGAAAGACTCAGTCTGTCCTGGTGCTGGTCTGAACATCTCTGTGGGTCTCTGGACTCCTCATCAGGGTCTTGGATGGCAGCCATTTTGTCAGAGCTGGTCAGACACACACACACACACACACACACACACGCCTACCAACGGTGTCTGGAACGATTTAGCAGCCGTGGGAAGCAGGAAACTTCTTGTGGTCTGCAGAGTTCATTACTGAGCAGAAATGTGAGCCACCCACGAGCCCGGGACCTGAAACATGTGGAGACCACCAGAGACAAGCTAACGCCGCAGACTGATCAGTGCAGGATCAATAACACCGTCAATAACGTCTAGTCAGCAGTTATTTTAGCTTTAGAGTAGATGATTGAACTGATCAATAGCACTATAAGAAGTCTGCTCTCCAGACTCATCAGCACTCATTAATAACATCTACTTATTTACTAAAACGAGTTTAAAGACAGGCACACAGAGGGCAACTATTTACTGCTGTTAGATAATAATAATCTGATCAATATCATCCATAAAGATATGGTGTATACTGATCAATAGAATACCATATACCAGAGTAACTACGTGGTTCTCTGCTCTGATTGGCTGGAGTTTGTTGCTCCCTGACAACCAGATATTGATCCTGATAGATATATTGGGTATGGGGCCCGTATGTCAGCGGCTCCTAGTCACCACAACGTGCTTTGGATGACATCATGACCACATGTGGTGGCAGTAATGAGTCGGCGGGCAGCGTGGGACGCACACAGTTGCCACATTTCCTTCATCTAGATACACAAGCCTGATTGTTAAAGGAAAGACAGTTTGTGCCTCAGTAAGTGACCATAGAAGAACTCCCAGGTCAATGCAGAGCTGCTCCTCACAAACAGAGGCTGATCCAGATGTTTGCTAAAGTTATTAATGAAAAACAGCCAGAAACTCAGTGACCTCATGAAGTCATCACCAGGATGGAGAGACAATGTTTCCGGCCAATGAAGGCAGATGATCCGCCAGAACCGCCCAGCAACAGCCGACACAGTCTCTGTGTTCTCAGTGAGCACAATGAGAGCTCTCAGCTGGAAGTTGCTCGCAAGAAAATATTAAATAAAAATAATAATGTGGAAAAATCTGAAGTCACAGCAGTGAGTGTTTGTGAGGATGCGTTCAGGTACAGCAGGGAGTGTAGGTCACACAATCACTGCAGTTAAAGCTGATGTTTATGAGATTATATAACATTATCATAATAACATTAACAGCAGACACAGAGTCACATGGTGTCTCTCTCCCTCTGCCTGTGTTGTATCGCAGCCTCTCTGTGGTTTGTTTCCATAGCCGGTCTGCTCCGACTGAAACTGCTGTTTTTATCATCTACGTCGGTGAATTAAGGATTTATTTCCACCAAACCAGAGTTGGTGATTGTTGGAAACACTAACAGAGACGCTTTTAATGAGTTTTATTCTGTTGCTGTCCACTTTAATGAAGTTACGATGATCTGAAGGTAAAATGAATGTTTGTGTCTCTGGAGTCTGGTGGAGAGTGACAGTGATATTACTGTTTGTGGTTAAACTAAAGGTCTATTGTCAACATATATTTACATGTTATGTTTAACATTAACCAAAGTATCTGAGCCATTAAAGTGTTGACCTGATGGTGGCGCTATAGGAACAGTCAGAGGATCAATAAAGTTTTTACATCCTGAATGTCTGAACTACATTTCATCACAATCCAACAGCTGTTGAAATCAAAGCGTCTTTCTTACGTTTCTGTAGACGAAGACTCGCAGTCGGAGGCCTCCCAGCGTCTCCAGCTCCTGGCCGTGGTACAGAGACGAGGAGGACAGCTGCTCTTTCAGGATGTGGTTGGTCATCAGCTGCCTCATCTCAGGACTCATATCCAGATTACCTGGTAAAGAAAATACAGCAGGTAAACACAGCAGGTGAGTCATACAGTTAGTGAGTCCACAGTCAGTGAGTCCACAGTCAGTGAGTCCACAGTCAGTGAGTCTACAGTCAGTGAGTCCACAGTCAGTGAGTCCACAGTCAGTGAGTCTACAGTCAGTGAGTCTACAGTCAGTGAGTCCACAGTCAGTGAGTCCACAGTCAGTGAGTCTACAGTCAGTGAGTCCACAGTCAGTGAGTCCACAGTCAGTGAGTCCACAGTCAGTGAGTCTACAGTCAGTGAGTCTACAGTCCAAGCTGTTTCTAACATTACAGTCCGAATTATTCCACTGTACAGGGGTTCCTAATAAAGTGGCCACTGTGTGTTATCTACAGGTAGATATGATAAACAACCATAGTACATTAAAGACCTGAAACAGGTTGTTGAATAATCTGTTCATATTATCAATTATTATTAATTATTATTAGCAGTGATTATTAAAATGTTCCTTCCACCAGCTAGCTCAGCTACAGTGAACTCATCAGCACTCTGATATTAACTGACCTCTGTTCTCGAGCTCTTGGATGGCGAGGCCAGAGGGGAGGAAGGCGTCGTTCAGAGGAGCCAGCATGGTCAGAGCCTCGGAGCCTGTCAGGTGGGGGGTCAGACCGGCTTCCACAAACAGCTTGGTTGCCGTGGAGACGGATGAACCCTCAGCCAGCTCCAGCAGGACCTTGGCTGCAAAAACCAGTTCAGGTGAGTCTGGATGTGCTCTCAGTATTAGAAGGATTAACCGCAGTATCAGTACCTGAGTCGGGGATCAAAAGCTCGTTGATGTAATGGATTACTCCGTTGGTTCCCAGCTGGTCTTTCTTGGTGATGATGGCCTTCCCGTTCAGGGTCATCTGGTCTCCGTCACAGCCCACCTCCAGCACGGTGCCCTGCAGGGTCTCCATCGGGGTCCCTGACACGATGGACTCTGCACACTGAATGTGCTTTAGGATGTGGTAGTTCAGCAGGTCTGAGGGGGGACGGGTTCATTGATGATATTGATCAGTATACACTGTATCTTTACTGATGATATTGATCAGTGTACACTGTATCTTTATAGATGATATTGATTAGTATACACTGTATCTGTATGGATGATATTGATCAGTATACACTGTATCTTTATGGATGATATTGATCCTGTATTGACAGTCAGACTGTGGACATATGACGGCCTTTAGCTCGTGTTTCTAGAGTTACGTGTTGTTACGAACACGTTAAGAATTGTTAAAATGTGATATTTCTTAAAGGGAGTTTGGTGCAGGGAGCTTTTAGTTGGATTCAAACTGCTGATATGGATCATTGTTAACGTTTAGTCTCCACTACAGAAACACTAGCTGACTGCTGAAGGCTGATCAGGTTGTCTGACGGTATTAGTTTGATTAATGCTTTAATAATCTGTGTATTGATTACTGATCAGGCTGATCAGTCACCTCTCAGAGCCACGGGGTCTCCCAGGATCCTGTTCAGGGTCTCTGGAGGAATCTTCTCGAAGGCCTCGTTGGTGGGAGCGAAGATGGTGTACTGACCCTCGTTCTCTAACATGGCGGCCATACCTGCAGCAGCCATCGCCGTCTGAAACACAAGAACACAAAGTCAGTGACTGTAGAACTACATTCACATCGACTGATTGGTTGACAGATGTACTCACGCGCAGCGTCTCCAGGTCCTCGTCGATTTCGATGAACGTGTTCACATTGTTGGAAATGGCGGTGATGACACGGTCGACAACATGCACGATGCCGTTAGTGGCGTGTTGGTCAGGTTTGATCAAACGAGCGCAGTTTACCGTCACAATCTGGGGAGGTGAGGAAGAAACAGTGTGTTACAGTGTGTGTTATAATAGTACCCTATTACCCCTCTAGAACACTACGTTCTCTGAATGCTGGGCTGTGTGTGTGTGTGTGTGCAGTGTGTATACAGTGTGTGTGTGTTACAGTGTGTGTATACAGTGTGGGTTACAGTGTGTGTATACATTGTGTGTATACAGTGTGGGTTACAGTGTGTGTATACATTGTGTGTATACAGTGTGGGTTACAGTGTGTATACAGTGTGTGTGTTACAGTGTGTGTTACAGTGTGTGTATACAGTGTGTGTATAAAGTGTGTGTTACAGTGTGTGTATACAGTGTGTGTATAAAGTGTGTGTTACAGTGTGTGTATACAGTGTGTGTATAAAGTGTGTGTTACAGTGTGTGTTACAGTGTGTGTATACATTGTGTTTATACAGTGTGGGTTACAGTGTGTATACAGTGTGTGTGTTACAGTGTGTGTTACAGTGTGTGTATACAGTGTGTGTATAAAGTGTGTGTTACAGTGTGTGTATACAGTGTGTGTTACAGTGTGTGTTACAGTGTGTATATACAGTGTGTGTTACAGTGTGTATATACAGTGTGTGTATACAGTGTGTGTATACAGTGTGGGTTACAGTGTGTGTTACAGTGTGTATATACAGTGTGTGTTACAGTGTGTATATACAGTGTGTGTTACAGTGTGTATATACAGTGTGTGTTACAGTGTGTATACAGTGTGGGTTACAGTGTGTGTTACAGTGTGTATATACAGTGTGTGTTACAGTGTGTTACAGTGTGTTACAGTGTGTGTCACAGTGTGTATACAGTGTGTGTTACAGTGTGTATATACAGTGTGTGTTACAGTGTGTATCACTGACCCCGTTGCTGTAGTGGTGGATGTGGACGTGGAAGTCCTGGTACATGGAGGTGAAGGAGGATCCGTGTCTCAGCTCCTCGGAGGTCAGCCGGCGGTTCACCATGTGGTAATGAAGAGCGTTCAGCAGCTCGATGTTCACGTTGCTCACCAGAGCATCCAGGATCTCCTGCAACACAACAACAACAACAACAACAACAACAACACACTGTCAGACACAGGAATATACTGTAATCACTTAAAGTTTTATCTGCTCAGTGAAATCAGCATGAAATCTGAACACTACTCCACAGACAACGTCAGAAATCCTCTGGTCTGTGGGGTGGTTGCTAGGGTGTTAACATGTGGTTGCTAGGGTGTTAAAAGGTGGTTGCTTGGGTATTATGTATAAGTCAGTGTGTCTCTCAATACTTCCTGTCTGTGTCTCATTGGTTCCTACTGCAGATACTACTGCATAATTTCCTACAACAGCTGTTCACTGTAGTTTAGAATCAAACAAACAGGGGGAAATAGTGCATTAATTGGCAGTGATGGCGAGCGTGGGGCGGTACTGACTGTCGGCAGGGCGGCCCAGGCCTCGTTGCTCGGGGCGAAGAAGGTGAAGCTTCCCGGACCTTCAATCTCATCCTTCAGTTTGGCTCGTTCAGAGTACATCTGAGTGGTGGAGGCTCCCACCACACCCAGAGTGTTGTAGATGTTCACCAGAGGCAGCGCTGCGATGGTACACACAAATAAACCAGAGTGATCCTCCTGTTTGTCTCAACAGCTTCAGCAACAACAAACTGTCCGAACAGAACACCCACAATGCAACTGTGATTCAACTGTAATCGGGGGTTAGGGTTCGGTCACAGCAGCACAGTTTGATCATCGATCTAAATTCTAATATCTATTGTTTACGTTATTAATACATTCAATCTGAAATAACTAAAAGAGCCTCAGTGTCAACAGTGGAAATATAGCAATATATACAGGTTAGCTTTGTACCATTACATCATTTATTGTTAGCTAAAATCAACACAATCAGACAATATGTTCCACAAGCTTAGCAGTAATGTTAGCTTTGACTTTGGACTGTATGTTGCAACATAATTCATCCAGACTCCCGGAGCTTCCCTAACTAACGTGACCCCACTTCGGCTCCACAAGGCCTATATTGTGTTGAGTGTTGGGGAGGTCAGAGGTCATAGGTCATACCAGCAGGACAGCCCCTCTCTCCAGGAATCTTCTCGTAACCCGGACAGCACTCGTAGGTGATCACCCTGCAGCAGGAAGCAAACAGACACATGAGGATCCACAGAAATTCTCCCAAACCAACCCTCCACTTCCTGTCGCTGCACCCTGAACCCCCCTCACACTCGGACCGACTCTCTGAAGCCTCTTTCACTGCGACATGTTCTGCAGATTTCAGCCTCCGGAGGAAAAACTACATGTTCCTCAATAAAACTCTGTTTCCACCTGAGAACCTTGTAACCTGTCTGTAATATTTCTGCTGCAGGCAGACATATAAATTCCTGTCTGTGTGTAACGATGCTAATAAAGTTAGACTGTGAGAATCTACTGTTTCCCATAATAATCCACTTTACATCACAGTAAATGTTACGCAATTAACCAAAGGAAAATGTTGTGAAAAAGTTGCAACAGTTGTGCTAGAGGTCCGTCTGAGGACCCTGCTGAACTGGATGAGGGTTTCCTTTCAACAATGTCCCCCAAAACATGTTTGGTGTAAAAATAAATATATATTATAAAAAACCTTACCTAACGTAACTTTATCAAGTGAATGTAAAGCTAACATTACTTTCAGTTGGAATGAACGAGTCAGTTCAGGATTAATGTCGACAGTCAAACAATCAATCATGTTCACTAAAGGAATACCACGATGTTATCCGTCTTTAGCTTCGGCTCTCAAGCTGACAGTGAACAATGTTTCAGTGGATCTGGATAGCTATGCTAATGCTAATGCTAATGCTACACTTCAAACTGCTCTTTCCAACAATCACCAACTCTGGTTTGGTGGAAATAAATGAATTCACTGCAGCAGTTTCATCATTCAGTCTGTGCACCGTGACTCCACCGTATCTCTACAGCTAATAGTTGTTTGCTGCCATATGAAGAACATTCATGTTTTGAATCCCATATATAACCTTTAAACAAACAAACAAACCTTTAAACCTTTAAACAAACTAAAATCTAATGATTAAAATCTGACTCTGAGTAATAAACATGTTCTTGAAAAGACAAAACCTAAACTAGAGTCTGAACTGAACCCTGGTGGAAGAGGTCTTTATTCACACAGTAGAAATAAACATTACATTAGTTTTGGTCGTACGAGTCTTTGAGCTCCAGCTAATGGCACATGTGGGCTGTAATGAAGCGTGGAGACCGAGTCGAAGCCTTCGTGACTTCCTGTAGAGATTTCCATAATAAATGTGGTTCAGCCGTCTGGGCCATAAAGCTCATTTCCTCAGAGAGAAGAAGAATCTGCAGCCAGACCAGATGCCTGATGGGGGGACCCTCATCCACCGCCAGGAAAAACACTAAACCACCAGGAGCCGCCACAGGCTCCTCACTTCCTGATCACTACAAAATAAAATGCCCTACAGTATACATATACACCAATAACATGGTGTTTTCAGCTCCAGAGGCTGCACAGAGACTTAGGTAAGGTTGGGGCTACGTTACAAGATCCTCCCCCACCCAGCAGACGACCCAAGAAGCCCCGAAGTAAAGCAAGACGAGTGCAGATGTAGGATTTTATGGTGCAAACCCCCTTAGTTTGTTTCCATCAGCACTGGATAATGTTGGATAATGGATAATGGCTGGACTCAATATATATATATATATACATATATATAACTATAATTTGACAGTATGTTTAACAACAAGAACAGCTAGCTATCACCTCATTGTCCCCAAATCAATATCACAACAGATACAAAGTCGAAGTCGTTAGCTAGTGTTTCTGTAGTGGAGACTAAACGTTAACAATGATCCATATCATTGCTTGCTCATGGTGGTACTGTTGGGTCTCTGTAATTAATGTTAAAGAGTTCGGTCTAGACCTGCTCTATTTGAAAAGTGTCCTGAGATAACTTCTGTTATGAATTGGCGCTATACAAATAAAATTGAATTGAATATCAGCAGTTTGAATCCAACTAAAAG